CAGAACTAATTGACCCCTCCGGTCATCAGAAAAATCAAAGAACGCTGCCGGTGATAAATAGAAGCCTAGATACCATCAGAATTTTCTCAGATGCAGCTTGGCGAGCCGACCTAAAAGAAGCCGGATTTGGATGGATCCTCATCGATCACCTCAACAACTCGGAGATCCAAGGAAACTCCACTGCTCCTTACATCCGATCTCCCTTATTGGCAGAGGCGACAGCCCTATTTCTCGCACTACAACATGCCTTCGATCTTGGATACAGGAAACTCTCTTTTGCTTCAGACTCGCAACAGCTAGTCAAAGCACTCAATCACGAGCCTTGCCCTAAAGAGCTCTATGGGATTCTACACGACATCCTGAACCTATCTCAAGACTTTGCTGAAATCGCTTTCTCCTTCGTTCCCAGGGAACTGAATCGACGAGCCGATGAAATCGCAAAGAATGCTTTATTTTCTGCTTTGAATGTTTCACCTAATGTACCAACTATTGTACCGGTTTAGTCTTTTTAATGAAAATCAGCCGATTGACAAAAAAAAAAAAGATAAAAGCAAAAAAGAAAGAAAAATATCTCTTTCTTTTTTTCCACAAATGCAAAAAAAAAAATCTATATACAAGATAAAACTTCCAACTTGTTTTTCTGCTTAGCTTTTCATTTCTTGTCTTTGTCTTCTTTGGTTGTGTAACCATGGAGGCTTTTAACGTTTAGGAGTGCTTGGTGTCGAGGGGCAGATCTATTGTGATTGGGTCTTGGTACTCAGTTCTGTTGGATCTGATGGTCGAGGGTGTTCTTGGGTCGCCGTTCTCGTTTCGCTGGTCACAAAGTAGATTCCCAGCTAGGTACATCTTTGTCGGGTGGTTCTCTTCGTTGAGTCTCGGCGGACTTTGGAGACTTTTGTTTATGCTCTTGACGGCTCGTTTCTCTTCTCCCATGGCCGAATCTGTGCATCATTGGATTGCTTTCTCGATAACTCGTTTGTGGTTTGTCTGGTGGTTTGTCTCTGCTTTGCCTTTCCATGGTGTCTCTGGGCTGAGTTTTCATTCGGTTTCCTCATCCTACAAATCGCGGAGGTTCAGTTCACCCACTTGATTGGGTTTCCTTCGGTTTTGTTAGAAGGTTGGTTTCGTCGTCTTCGTTTCGCGGTTCAGCAGGATCCTCTCAGTTTAGTTAGTCGTGTGATCTTGGACTGAAAGAGTTGAGCAAGTGCGGTCATCTTCCTTCGTCAAATTCTCTGTCAGGTTTCTCGATTCGATTTCTGTATCTCGCCATGTTCGTCGTTCTCATGTTTGGGCTTAATTGAGACTAAGCTATTAGCGGTTCCACCTATTTCCGTAGATTGTAATTTCCCTCGTTTGGGCTTAAGTTTCCCTCGTTTGGGCTTTGTTATGTTTGTCCGCCTCTTTTGGCCTTAAGTTTCTGGGGGTTTCTATGTACCCGCCGACTTTGTCTCCGAAAGGATTTCGTTCCTTGTCGGCTTTGTATAACTCAATCGCATTATATCAATGAAATCCTTTAGACGAAAAAAAAAAAAGATAAAACTTCCAACTATAAACACTGCATCATTCTGTTAAAGCCTCAAAGGTCGAACCCATGATTTCTGGTTCAAAGTAACTCAATAAGACCAATTATGCTACTGAAAGTATCCTATAGTTAATTATATAACATATTTATAAGATGATGGTGATAAAAATTCAATCTAACCTCTATATGTTTTAAAACCAAAAAAAAATAATATATGTTTGGTTCTTTGGTGAGACACATTATTCTTAGACAGAGCTAGACTACTTTGAGAGTCCACTTAGAGCCACATACTTAGATTCAATAGTTGACAAGGCTACCAACGGTTACTAGAATGTGAAACCTTTATTTTCCATAGAAAAAATGCCAAAGATATAAAATCTTAGCTGTGATTATGTAAGCAGATATTGTCCATAATGCGACAACCTTTACAATACAGAAAATTTCCATTTGAGTGATAAAAAAGATTGTTTATTTCAGTCCATTAATTTAAATTGCTGGCAAAAAGTTCAATGTGAAGTATAGTTAAAACCCATAACAAAATATAGTTGAACCCAATAAGGTGAAAAAGCTTATGACTGGTAGTATTAGCCCATTCCTTAGGAGGATATGAAATGATAATGATGTTGAATACTCCCTCCGTATTTTAATAAGTGTCGTTTTAGAATTTTCTTTTTTTTTAAATTAGATGTCATTAAAAATTCTAAAACGACACCTATTAAAAAACGGAGGGAGTAGTAATCAGTAATCACCCAAAAAAACCCAAAATTACATTATATCACTCGTCGATTTTGGGTTATCAGACCAAAAGTCTATATAAGCAATAATTTAAAGGGATTGTTGGGAAAATAGTCAGTTTTTGAGACTTAATTAGGAAAGTAGTCACTTTACTATTTGATATTAGAGAAGTAGTCAGATTGTACTGTTTGTCTAATACAGAGTGTGTGAGATACGGAGGTGAGTGGAAAAAGGGAGTGGATGTGAAATTACATTCAGGGAGTTTTGTTTAATTGGTTAGAGTCAGAAGAGAGAGAAAGGGAGATGCGGTAAGATTTCTACTAAAAAAACGTGTGTTTTATTTGTGGTTTTATTTGTGGGGTAACTTTAAGATTTCTACTAGAAAAACGTTTGGGCCTAAAGTTTCATGAAATGGGATATCTTTTGTCACTTTTGTAAGAGATTGTGAAGAGGAAGTGAGGTAAAACCAAGAAATCCTATCCATGGTCAATCGTTTGTGCTACTGTAGAGGTCTTTTAAAAGAAGAGAGTAGAAAATCATGTTTGATATTAAGAATAAAATCAAGAAGACTAGAGACGAGAAGAAGGAGAAGACAATGGAGTATGCTTCAAAACAACATAAGTTTCAGAGCCTAAAAGAAATTTTCATTGATTACATTATTGACACGTGCCTTTCATCTCATTACATGTAATTGTGTATTATTGTTTTTTTTTTTCTTCTATTGTGTATTATTCTTTATGTAAATGTTTTGTCAGTTTCTATTTTTTTCTCTAGATTATTGTATTTTAAAGTTTCATGCATATATGAAAGTGGTCATATGGATCCATCATCCATCATCTATTTTCTGTTTAAATAGGTGTATGAATTAGTTTAACTAATGTGTAAAGCTTATATAAAATCCTTTATACTTATTTGTGAAATCTATAAAAACACTAATACATATCATCTAAATTAATTAATTGTGATTAAATATATAGTTGAATAGTTTATAGTACTAATATTGTTGTATCACAATTAATATTCAAACTCGAAAAAATGAGGAACTTAAAATGTTTGGACCATCTCTGATAAGTCTCAAGTGAGTATTACGTGTTCTAGTGATATATTTAACTTCTGCTAAACTGCTAATGTACTAGAAGTTTTTGTATATTACAAAAAATACCCCTCAAAAACTTGTTTCGCACGAATACTTTATATGTACTTACCCCAATAGTGGAGCAAAGAAGAGTTTGTTGTGACAATTGCCAAACTTCATATTTCAATATTCCAAGAGTGTTGCATCTAAGGCTGCTGAATTGGGTGGTGGTGGAGTAGTCACTTATCTCTTTTCACTCATCTTTATATAATTTAATCCATCTCTATTCTACATTAATAACGTTTGATTATTATTTTTAAATTTCTTTATATGTATCTATCTTTTAAATTTTAAAATAGTTTACGAAAAAGTACCATAAAATGGTTATTTTATTAATAGAAAATAAAATAATAATATGGTTTTTAAAAATTAGTTATGTTATTTATGTCAATTAATTTATGAATTTCTTGAAATTAACGGATACTAAAAATAGATATATTCACAAATTAAACTAATCTATTGCAAATTAAACGTTTGGGCCTAAAGTTTCATGAAATGGGCCACTGTTTTGTTAGTTTTTGACCCAACATTATGTCTTGGGAAACGAGATTGACGCTGAAGGAGAAGCCGAGTTTTGTTGGGGAACGAGGATTTCGAGTTTCGTGGCAGAGAACAAAGAGAAATACATTTACAGTGTGACGATTAAGGGGTATTAGTGAGTTACACACTGTAGAAGAATAATGAGATTTGAAAATTAGAGGGAAAAGTAGTGTGTATTTTTTTTTGGGACAAATATTTTTTGGTGATATGATTATTAATCACGTTATTTTGTGTTTGTGTTTGTGTCTTCAATTCACGCACCCATTTTGGTAAAAATATATGTTATATACATTATATCTTAGATATATAATTTTGTTTTAATTGTTAAATCTAAACCCTAACCACTCCTTTATAAACCCAAGCCGATATATAATTTCGTTGTAATTGTAAAATGTAAACCCTAACCACTACTTTATAAACCCAAACCGACTTATAATTTCTAAAAAATTGTAAAATCTAAACTCTAGCCACTCTTTTATAAACCCAAACCAATAGATAAGTTCGTTGTAATTTTAAAATCTAAACCCTAAACACTACTTTGTAAACCCAAAGCGGTAAATAGTTTTGCTTTAATCACAAAAACTAAACCCTAAACCCTCTTTTATAAACCCAAACCAATATATATTTTCTCTTCAATCGTGAAAACTATATCCTAAAAACGTGAAATCAAAACTCTAATATTCATTTATAAACTCAAACCAATATATAATCTTGTTTAATTGTAAAATATGATAATCAGTCCATAATTGTTTAGTTTAATTGTTTTAATTAAATATTATAAATAATTTTAATTAATCTATTTAGATGATATGACTAATTTTGATGGGTTAATTAGAAGTGAATCCAAGAATTTTTCCAGAAACACCTAACTATCAAATTTTGCCCTGGGCTTACGGCCCAACCCGTAAGCACCGAACCGAACAACCCGATGTGTTCGGTGTTCGGCCCAATCCGATTTAAAGGGAGTGAACCGATCGATTGATTTCTAATTAGAAATCGGATTTCGGATTTCGATCGGTTTTGCTTAAACCGACCTATATAACCCTAAAACTAAAACCTAATCTCATTTTCCCTTTCTTCTTCGGCGACTCAACCTCCTCTCTGCGATTACGAACCCACAGAAACCTCCGTTCATCTTCTTCGATTACAGTCTTCCCTTCGTTTCTTCTCCATCATTTCATCATCTCCATCATCTTCGACATCCTCTTCACCATCGTGGACATCATCTCGCCGCTCGGCTTTCTCTGGGAGTGAAACCCTAATTCGCGAATCGTAAACGTAAGCTTTTTTCGTTCTCCTAATCGCCTCTTCTTCGTTTATTTGTTATTATGAGTTTGTTTTTGTAGGTTTTGTTTATTACGGTTTTGATTTGGGTAATTTTAGGGTTAGGGTTTTAAAATCGATTTGGGGCTTTCTTCTTAATCGATTTTTCTCTGTTTAATTGTTGTCTTGTGGATTGTTTACGGTCATTATATTGTGTATTTGTATCTTTCTGCAACAGTCTAGATAATCTGTTCAGGTAAAATCTCTAAAATTGTAGCTTCCATTTGTTTCATACCCAAAAGATTAGAGGGACACATCATTGTTGCTTTTTGTCCCAACTGACTTTGGGAAAATTTGCCCCTCTTTGTCTTGAAATTGGAAAGATAAACTCACCGCTTAACTTTGTTCAATATCTCAGACGATTCTTAATGTTCTCGACTTGACAAAATCTCTTAAGTACCTGAATGTTTAGAGTATAATATCCAAAAAATTTGGAGTCTAATTAGTATCTAGAGTTGGATTAAGCCGAGAAATCGTTCAATCTGTATAATTAGAGATTTGTCTTAAATTTCTAACAAATATCCGGAAGAGGAGAACGGTTTGCCAGTAGTTGTGGTGTTTCGTTTGGTTCTGGATAAATCCAGATCTACGAGGCACTTAGATTTCTACGGTTTCGATCGGTAGGCTTAGGCTATTATTGACGGATTTCATTCAATCTATAATTTCTCTATTTTTTACAGATCCAAAATCATGGGTGAGGATATTCCTTTCTTTGATTTCAATAGAGTCGGAGTTTTCTTTCACTTTGTTGCAATAAACGTTGAACGTAACACGCTCATACAAAAGCGCGTGCAGAGGTTTAGGATTGATACTTCCGTCGCTCGAAATGAAATCGATGCTAACGTCTATAGTAGGGTCTTCGAAATTCTCAACGGCAAAATTTGGATGGTGTATAACAAAAATCTCAGTGATTTGAAGAATCTTTTCAATGCTAATTTCCATGCATGTCCTATTGCTAAATATGAGATAGATACAACAAAGTGGTTTGCTGAAAATTTTGATGGAAGAATTGATAACATGTCGCTCGAAGGTGTTAGCGATTACTTTAAATTGGATGTTGAGAAATATGAAAAGCAATCGAGTGATAAAGTTGAACGAGATTGCCATCTCCATATTCAAGTTATCATGGCAGCAATGGGCATCACACAACTGGAGGCACTTCTTAAGAAAAAGGAAGACGAAGCAAAGAGGCCAAGGATATAACATAAACGAAAACCAAAAAAAAGAAAAGAAAAAGAGAAATTGAGGTAAGAAATTTCAAGTGTGAGAATCTGATATTCAAAAAGAGAGTTGAGGAATTCACTGTGTTGTTTCGTTTTTATTTGCAGGTGGTGGATCTTTAGATTCTAAGAACTGAACTCGAAGATGTTGAATCTGCTTTGTTTAATCTATTGTCAAATTGGTGGTTGTTGCAGTTAATTTTACATTGCACTAGATGGTTTCTACTTTTTAACAAAAACATATGTATTGAGAATTAAATTGGAATTCGTCATGAGTTATCTATTGAACTGAATTGTCATTAACTTTTAACTACACCAGGGTTGTTTTAGGGTCATCTGATGCCTGATTGGATCTTTTTGAGGTTCAATTACAGATGTTTCCTCATGGTGATTGGCATTGCCCCAATTGTACATGCAAATTCTGTAGGGCAGTTGTCGAAGAATGTAGTCAAACTGTGGGTGCAAATACCTGCAAAATGTGTG